GATAGTACTGAACCCTACATATACTATGTTTTTCCTATACTTACATGCCTATGCTAAAGTTTAATTTATAAATTAGGCACAATAAGAGATGAACAACAATAACTAATAACAAAATAGAACAATTATAACAACATCCTGTAATAGAAGTTATATGAATGTGGTCTTTCTCTCTCTTGAGTAATTTTTATATTTTTCAGTCCAAATCTATTGAATCTGGGTAACCATCCCTTACCTGGTAAATGGCTTGGTGCCACTCATTTCAAAGATCCCTTGCTGCTGCCAAACCGGTTTGGCTCAGTGGATGGAGCGTCGGCCTGCGGACTCAGGGGTCCCAGGTTCGATTCCGGTCAGGGGCATGTTCCTGGGTTGCGAGCACATCCCCACTGGGGGGCATGCAGGAGGCAGCTGATTGATCTCTCTCATTGATGTTTCTGGCTCTCTATCCCTCTCCCTTCTTCTCTGTAAAAAATCAATAAAATATATTTTTTTTAAAAAAAAAAGATCCCTTGCTGAAGTCTTCCTATAGGCTCAATGTTTTCTGGCACAATATGCTGCCATCAGTAGGAACAAGTTTTCTGTTTATGTCTCTACCCAGAAAAATAATACCTTTTCCATCTTTACTAACCACAGCATGCACTGTAGCCATAGCTCTGCAGTCTGAGGTGTGACAGCAAAACTAACATGAATTTCTTTTTTCTTCTTCACAATTTTACAGGTTAAAGATTTGTTCTTACTGTGGACTGCAGCAACTGAGGTCTACAATTTTTTCTTTCCTTTTCAATTGAGAACTTTCACCTTTTCACTTAAGAGAAGCATTCTCCAGCTCCTTTTTGGCATATCTGAATGGCCATCATCACTACTCTTGCACTTAGGGCCGTTATGAACTAAAATAATAGTTACATGAACACAAGCGCTGTGACACTGAAACAGTGGACCTGAAAACCACGAGGGCTACTAGTGACTAATGGGGTGGATGCAGCATGGATACATTGCACAAAGGGATGAGTCACAACCCAGGTGGGACAGCGCAGGACAGCGCAAGCTTTCACCACGCTCCTCAGAACGGCAAGCAATTTAAAACTTAGGAATTGTTCGTTTCTGGAATTTTGCTTTTAATATTTCAGGCCACAGTTGACCACCAGTAAGCAAAACTGCAGAGAGCAAAACGGAGAACAAGGGGAGACTACTGTGATTACTGTTATGTGCTAAGCACTCTCCTGAGTATTTTACATACATTCTGACATTAATTCTCACAACTCTTTAAGGCCAATATAATTGTGATCCCCATTGTACAGGGAGATTAAGCCATGACACATAGGTAGTAAGTGGCAGAACTAGAACTCAAACCTTATTCTGCCTGACTCCAAACCCGTATTCTTCACTGCTCTCAAAATATGACTTTATGTGACATGTGTAGTAAGAAATAACAGGAATGAAATAATACCGATGTAAGTCATACTGCAAAGACGGAATTCATGGAGTTTAGCAATTGCTTCAGTGCATCGAGGAAAGGGGAGGAGTCAAAGATGACTAAAGTTTGAAGTATGAATAAAGCTTGGAGAATAGTGACATTGTTCAAAGAGATAGAGAAGTCAGGAAGAGCCGGCTCTGAGAGCATGATGAGTTCAACACTCATTCCAGAGAAGCAAAGTGGAGTGGAGCAGAGATATACAAGGAATATCCTAATAGGCATTGCCAATTTAGCAAAAATAATAGTTCCATCTTTTTGTGAAAACTTCTGTTTCTTCTACAATCCCCCCCCCCATCCCATCCCACCACCAAAAGATAGTAAGGAATATTTTTATGAGAGAAAAAAATTATGATTGATTTTTAAAATCTCATGTTTATGCTATTAATTGGTTTGTGACCTAGACAAGTACCTTGACTTTTCTGTGTTCACTCATTTTCCTCCTCTATAAACTACGTAGGTTGTCTAGACCAATTTAGCTCAGACTTCACTAATGTTTAATGAATGGATGCTAGGCTTCTTTCCAATGCTTTAGAGTCCATTATTCGAAACAGTAGAAAAGAGGGACAAAGGGCCTTGAGCCCCAATAGACATTACAGCTAACAGTGCCGCTGCAGTTCATTTCATGCAAATTCCCTTAGTGTATAAACCAAGAAAATGAGCACAGGGTCTTGACTCATTCTGGATAAAGAGCTGGTTAGCAACAAAGTCTGATCTAGAACTGAGATCCTGGCTGTCAATCTTGTGCATTTCCCTGGACACCACCATGTGTTTTTTTAATCGTCTGGCTTAGAAATGTTTGCCTTGGATGAACTCAGAGTGAATTATAAGGGGGACTAAACCTCACACACACGTACATGAAGCCTCACTGACCTGAGAGAGATTTATGTGTTGGACTGAAGGTCCTTATAAAATGAAATTCCATAACACTCCAACATAAAAATATTAAGACTGCGTTAATGTGCTTTTTATAGCACGGCATTATGGCTAAAGCCTCAGACAGAATTGCTGCTCTCACCACAGCAGACACAGTGTAACTTCCGAAAAGTCACTCCAAATTCTCAGCTCCCAAGACTACAAAAGGGAGGTGATGGTACCCTCCTAGTCGGGGAGTGCCCTTGGTCGAGTGTGAATTCAGTTCCCACTTTTACTTTACTGCTGGAGGAGCAAAGAAGAGAAATGGGCATTCTGAGCTACGTAGGCAGGAAAGAAAGTGGGTGACAGAGGGGAGCAATCAAGTAAGTCCTTTGTCAAAACCCCAGGCCCCTATCTAATTACCCCTCTCTTTACTGCTGGCGCTAAGAAGGCTACAGGAATGGAGAAATAGCAAACAACTATATTTAAAAATGAACACTCCAGTGAGATCAGATTGCACTGCCTGAGGAGCTGTGTGCAGATGCCCACACTGCCCACCCAAGGGCGGGCTCTGCTCACAGCCTCTGGGCTGAGCTGTGAGGTTTAATACAACCACCTGGTGTACACCTTGAAATTCCTTAGAGATAGACACTAAGCAAACAAAGAAAAGACTAATAAATGAAACAAACTCATTGATTTTAGATATCATAGTCCTCTTACCTTCTAAACAAGAGTGAAAATAAAAAGATGTACTTAACCACATGCCTCTTTTGAGGCAAAAACAGTATGAAACACCAAATAGTTAGTTGCCCACTCTGAACATAGAGTAGCGTACCTCCTCTGACACTGTGTGCTTCAAGTCTTCCTTTTCTGAATGATAGGCTTTGTGATATTCACAATTCCAGGCCCAACATACTTATTATATCTCTTACTCTAAAATGATTTTTTAAATCACGCTAATATTCATTCATTCATCTACAAATATTTATTGTCTCCTATGTGCCAGGCACTGTTCTGAGTGCTAGAGATACAGGAGTGAGTGAAACAGACTAAAATCCTGTGCTCATGGAGCTCATATTCTGGTCGAACTCTCTCCCTCTTTATTTTCAAACTGCCCAATTTAATAAATGTTTGTTGAATGAATGATAAATAATATTTGGGGTAATATGTGAGAATCAGACAAATTACAGTATAAAGATGAGATGTGAGCCATTTAAAACCTAAACTAGACTGTATATATTTTATAAATTTGTCCTTGAGTTTCATCTTCATTGCCCTTCAACTCTGCTTTTTCTTTTTGGGAAGTAATTTCTTGGAAGTGTTTCTACCAAACACTTTGTGTAAAACATCAACAAAGGAAAAAGACACTTCTGCAAAGAGAAAAAAAAAATAAAATGGAGAGTCTGCCAATGATCACCCTCATTCAGCAAGGCCCTCAACTTAGAGACCTCGTGTTTCGATGCCGAGCATCAGACTTTTAAAAAACCAATGAAGTGGCACCTCAGAAACCAACACTAAATAAGTAATAATCTGTCTGAAAACTTACTTCAAGGAGGTTCAGAGATGACCTTCCACAGCCTGGCCTTCGGGGTTCCATGCTTGTTTGAGTTCATCTGAACCCAGCAGATCACTACTGACTTCCAGTCAGTGGCAACTTCATTTTCATAATGTCCTGTCCTAGGTGGTGCGCTCTGTGGAGGGATGGGCCAGACAAGCCCAGGAGTTTCATAATGCTGTCAGGCTCAGAGCACGTCCTTTGCCTCCGGGAAGTAAAGTTATGAGGATAAGAGGTTATGAGGAAAATCACTTCTAGCATCAAGGAATGGCAACACATATGGAAACACAGACATCAAAGCCTGGGTAATTATTACAACAATTTTCCAAAGAAAGAGGTCCCATCATTGGAGGCAGCCACCTCTCACTCTCCTCTTCTAAGCTGACGCGATGAAAGGAAAAAGATTTATTATTATACCGGGAAGTTAAAAAAAAAAAAAAGAAAGAAAGGAATACCAGAACACCACAAGCAAATGATATTTGCTAGCTTAAATAATGCTACCTTCATCTCAGGGTGGCCTCTCCTTAGAAGGCAAACCTATAATAAAAGAAATGAACTAAGTTTTGTTTGCCATCTCTCTTAAGAAAAGTATCATTTGTATTATCATAAACTACATTCATATCATCCAAGAAAATAGCTGAAGCTAAACAGAAGTTTTTAAATAATACCAACAATATGCAGGTAAAGATCCTTAAAATAGAAACACAGAACAAAATAAAAAATGACTTTATGAGGTCCAGGGCAGAAGCTTACCTCCATCCTGAGGACAGTAGTAAGAGGTGCATTCAGCTTGATTCCCTTCTTGGATTGTCCTCTCAGGTAGTCTCTTGCAAGAAGGCTGACTTGACAACTACTACTAATAAAGCATTAGAAGCAGTTCTCTTTTTAATTAGAGGCCCCCTTGCCTGGCCCGTGTGGCTCCGTGGTGGAGCATCGAGCAACAAACCAGGTCATGGTTTTATTCCCACTAAGGGCATATGCCTGGGGTTGTGGACTTGATCCCCAGTAGGGGGCGTGCAGGAGGCAGCTAGTCAATGATTCTCTCTCATCATTGTTTCCATCTCTCTCTCTCTCTCTCTCTCTCTCCCTCTCCCTTTCTCTCTCTTAAATCAATAAAGATATTTTTTTTAAATAATAATAATAATTAGAGGCACCCATGTAATGACAAGCAATAGCTCTAATATGTATATTGAAAAAAACATGCCCAAAACTATTGACTTTTGTAAAATGTCCTGGTCAGAAAGGCTGGAAGAGGGAGAGATGGATGGTAGTGGGGATGCAGATATAAAAAGAGAGGATGAGAGATAAGCGACACTTTTGTGTTGCCTAGTTCTAGTCATTTGCTTTTGAATATTTTAAAAATATTTTATGAGCATTGGTTCCTCCTTTTTCAAATTTTCATCTTTCTCTTCAGCTTCCTTTACTAGAATTTTCTTCCTTTTTATTATAAAACATTTTTAATGTTGACCTTATTGCAGGTGTTCCCCTTTCCACTTGTTCTCTTTGCCCACCTCCACCCACTCCTGCCTCCCCCTCCCCTGGCCTTTCCCACATTACTGTCCATGTCCATGGGGTATGCATATATGACATATATTATATGTTCTTTAGCTAATCCCTTCACCTTCTTTATTTAGTAACATCCCCCTCCGCTTGGGCACCAGCCAGTCTGTTCCATGTGTCCATGCTTCTGGTTCCATTTTGTTCATGAGTTTATTTTGTTCATTAGATTCCACATATAGGTAATGACTTTTTCTTCTTTTGTTGCTTTTTCTCTTCCTCTTTTACTCCTTTTTCTCTGTACTGCAAAATTCCAAGTTTCTATATAAAAAAGGAAAAAGAATGAAATGAGAAGGGAGAATGAGAGTGTGATCAGCATTAGAGGAGGAATCATTTATCTCCCTTGAGCCCTGGTTCTATGAAAATATCTGTATGACCTGGTAAAAATTATTTCAAAATGTGGCAGAGATGGAGACTTAAGAAGAAAAGCCCACCATTATAAATTCCAGTTATGAAACATATTAACACATTCCCAGTCATTTATTGCACCCCCCACACATTCCACCTCCTGGCTTTGATATTACATAAAAACATACAGGAAACCTTTGAATGCCAGAGGTCCGAAAATGTGCATGAAAAAGATTACTAAGGACAATATCTTGTGGATGACCCACAAGCCAGTGAATAGGATAGACTGGCTGGGGTGGGGGCAGGAGAGATTAACCAAAGAACATATATACATAACCCATGGACACAGACAATAGTGTGGTGAAGCCCTGGGAAGGGCCAGGTAGAGGGAGGATCAATAGGGAAAAAAAGGGGGGTATTTGTAATACTTTCAATAATAAAGGTAAATTTTTTTAAAAAGATTGTTCAACTTTGGACGCAGGCATAATCATTGCTGTCATTACAGTGACTAAGAAGAGCCTCTACCCAGAGAAACAACCCAATATATCTAGTAATAAATGAATGCTTTCCATCCGTGAGTAAAATATAAAATAACACAAAATATATAAATAAAAATATAATCCTATCTAATAAAAGAGTAATATGCAAATTAACCATCACTCCAATGCAAAAGATGGCAGCACCCAGTCCTCTCAGCCCCGCTGGAGTCCTCCAGTCCTGGGGGTGGCTGCTGAGAGCAGTATCTGCTTGGCCATCGCCCCGGCGATCCGGGAGCTGCCAAGCGGGCCCCGCAGACAGCAGAGAACCACGGGGAGTGGGCCAAAGCCATCAGTAGGACATCCCCTGAGGGATCCTGGATTGGAGAGGGTACAGGTCGGGCTGAGGGACCCTCCCTCCCGTCCCCCATGCACAAATTTAATGCACTGAGCCTCTAGTAAATAATCATAATAATAGGTATCTTGAAAAGTGTTTTTATTTTTAAACTACTGAAGTATTTTGAAGTACTAACTTCTTTTATCTTCCTCTTTTGTGTTTTTTCAGTTTTCTTGTGCCTCCAACCTGCTTCCCAATTCAAGCACTTAGAAAATTATGTGTTTATTGCCTCTGAGTAGCTTTGGGGCGAGGTGGAAAGCAGAAGAGGCCTACAAGTCCCTTATGACTCTTCCTGGACCTTAGGAGAACATAGTGGTTTTGTGAAAGGTGTGAAAGCGTCGATGCTAAACATAAAAAAAGTGTCTTGGTCAGAAATATAAGGGGAAGAAGACTTTCACTAGTTGAGATTCCCTCTGTTACAGGGTAGTGGCTGAGGGGAGAAGAGGAGGAGAGAGAGGAAGGACTGCAGGTTCTGAGAGCAAGGCAAACCTGAGCCCACTTCTTGCCGGCATACTAATGCAGCAGCAAGACCTAGACAGTAAAAAGCTGCTTGACTGGTAAAGTGAAACAACCTTAGTACAAAATTTCCAGCTAATTCCAGCAGGTAAAGGTCTTGCCCATAGGTGAGGTATAAATTATGGTTCTTAGCTTGGAAGCAAACCAAACCTGGTTTGAGACTGTATTACCTCAGCAAAATGGAATTTATTGGAAGGTTATGGGAAAATTCAAGCAATCAAAAGTAATCTGGGAGCACCTAGCTTCAAAAAGGAAAAGACTAAGGTAATTCTGGTCATTTTGGTGACCTGAGTAACAAGAAGTAGGGCTTCCTCTAGGGCAGTGGTTGGCAAACTGCGGCTCGGCAAACTGCGGCTCGCGAGCCACATGCGGTTCTTTGGCCCCTTGAGTGTGGCTCTTCCACAAAATACTGGCTCTTCCACAAAATACCAACTTCTGTGCATGGGCCACAAAGTTTCAATCGCACTATTCGTGCGCGCCTGCACGTGGTATTTTGTGGAAGAGCCACACTCAAGGGGCCAAAGAGCCGCATGTGGCTCACGAGCCGCAGTTTGCTGACCATGGCAGGGTGCTGACACCAAATGGATCAGCTATAATCTTTTCCCATCCTTGAGTCACTCGTTACAAAATTTAAATTCCTGGAGGAATTGAAGGAAACTTGTTCAGATCTCTTGCTCAACTTTCAGCTAAGGAGAGTAGGATAACTTATTGGATAGTTGTAGGAGATTGTACACATTGTGAAAAGATTAAGCCTCCACCCTCAAAAGAAAATCAAAGTGCTATTACAAAAAAAATTAAAGAAAGAATGGATGCTGGGCAGACGTAAACAATATATGCTCACTACAGACGACCACTTTAGATAAATAAAAAATCTCATATGCTTGATTACTTTTTAATATTGTGAAAATCAATTGGGAGAAGTTGGAGTTCTATTATATTTATTGTGGAACTCCCCTGCTTACAACTGTTCATTGACTCCCTATTCTGTCCAATAAAGCTCTAACTTCCTTCATATTCTTATCGTTGCCTATCCCTCCAGCTTAATCTTCAATTCCTTTTTTCCCCTGCAGTTTATGTCCTAATAATCTCATGCAATTTTCTGCTCTTGAACATGTTTCCCTATTTCATATTTATGAGTTTTTACACAGGCAGCACCCTCTGCTTGAAATTACCTACCTTATTCCTTGTCTACCTGGAACTCACTGACTCAATTCAAACACTTTTCATGCCTTTCTGATACCTATCATCCTCTCCTCCACCACGTTTTCTTCTTCATCTTGGTATCACCATTATATATCTTGCACATGACTCTATTTTTAAAATATATTTTATTGTGTTGTAATAATTTCTTTATATGCTTGTATCCCCTACAGATCTATGAGCTTTTTTTTGGGGGGGGGAGGAGTTTCTGTATAAATGGTTGTTGAATGAACTAGTGAATTTTCCAGTAAGACACCAATATTCACCAAGGGCCCACTCTGCTTGGAATCATATATAGAAGGCATAGTAGTTGGTAGTTATTCAGAATCTTTACTAAGGCAGTATTTCTCTACTAAGGGTAGAATATCAGTGGGGAGGGAAAAGTGGTCATGGTAGGACATAAGATTTTCATTGGAATTTCCGAATATTCAATCTTACTTAATCTCCATGCAAGCATGGTGTACCATTTTCTGCCAACAGTATTTGCTGATTTTTATTTATGTTCATTTCATATCTGTAGTGGTAAAGTTTATACTCCAAAATATCATCATATTTTTGATGAACCACTTGGTTTTATAGAGTGGATCATTTTATAGAATAGACCCTAAAAATATTGCCTGAGCTTATTTATTTCCAGGATTTAGGTTCTTTGGTGATGTAATTATCAGGACTCAAGAAATTATTCAAAGCCACTTCAATAGTGGGACCTTTAAGGAACTGAAAAATTAATAGAACAAACAGGTCAAACACATATTCACACCCATCTGATATTATGCATAGTTATGAGAATATTATTGACTATATTCCCTGTGCTATACTTTACATCCCCACGACTATTCTATAACAACCAATTTGTACTTCTTAACCCCTTCACCTTTTTTACCCATCTCGCCAATACCCCTCCCATCTGGCAACCATCAAAATGTTCTCTATATTTATGAGTCTGTTTCTGTTCTGCTTGTTCATCTATTTCACTTTTTAGATTAAATTGTTGATAGATGTGTATTTATTGACATTTTATTGTTTATATTTTTTATCTTTTTTTCCCTCTTCTACTTAAAGAAAACCTTTTAACATTTCATATAATACTGGTTTGGTGGTGATGAACTCTTTTAGCTTTTTCTAGTCTGGGAAGTTCTTCGTCTATCCTTCCATTTTAAATGACAGCTTTGCTGGGTAGAGTTATCTTGGTTGTAGGGCCATGCTTTTTATCACTTTGAATATTTTGTGCCAATGCCTTCTATCCTGCAAAGTTTCTATTGAGAAATCAGTTGACAGTCTTATAAAAGCTCCCTTGTAGATAACTAACTGCTTTTCTCTTGCTGCTTTTAGGATTTTCTCTTTGTCTTTAACCTTTTGCATTTGTATTATGATGTGTCTCTGTGTGGACCTCTTTGGGTTCATCTTGTTTGGGATTCTCTACACTTTCTGGACTTGTATGCCTATTTCTTTCACCAGATTAGGGAAGTTTTCTGTCATTATTTTTTCACATACATTTTCAATTTCTTGCTCTCCCTCTTCTACTTCTGGCACCCCATGATGTGATTACTCATCTACTTGAAGTTGTCCCAGAGGCTCCTTATACTATCTTCATATTTTGGATTCTTTTTTCTTTTTTTCCTGTTCTGATCAGGTGTTTTTTGCTTCCTTATATTCCAAATTACTGATTTGATTCTCAGCTTCATCTACTCTTCTGTTGATTCTTTGTAAATTATTCTTCATTTAAGTTAGTGTATCCTTCATTTCTGATGGGTCATTTTTTATGCTGTCAAGGTTCTTACTAAGTTCATTGAGCATCCTTATCTCCAGTGTTTTGAACTCTGCATCTAGTATATTGCTTGGCTTACTTACTATTCATTGGGTTGTTGGAAGAAGAGTGATGGTGTTTAAGAGAATAAACTTGCATTGAGTAGTAAATAAGTCATAGAGATCCAAGTACAGTATAATGAATATAGACAATAATATTATCCTATATAATAAGAGAGGAATATGCAAATTAGGCCAGGACTCTGTAATGTTACGACCGCTTGGCAGGGGGCGGGCAGGCGGGAGAGAGGAGTGGGGCCTGCTGCCAGGATGTGAGTCTGTGGTGCCTCCTTTGGAGTTGGGGAGCTAATGACCAATAGGCTCTGGTCCTCCTCCACAGCCGTTTCCAGCAGGCATGGGGTTGCTGAGACCCAGGCTGGGCGTCTGGCCACAGACCCACAGCTTCACAGAGACCGACTCTACCAGGCCGCGGGGAGGCCATGTGGCTGGGCCGCAGAGGGCCTGTTCAAGATGTGACAGAGGAGGTGCGGGAGGAAATCCAGAGAATGGGATGTGGGGGTTCAAGGCTCACTTCCTTTGGGCTTTGTCCTTCTTGGCCTTGGTCCTTTTCTTTTGGGCCTGGAGTGCAAAAACTGCAGGCGAGTGGGATGGATGAAGACCAAATGTGGAAGAAAGGAGGTGACCCAGGTGAGGGTGGAGACCTAGCAGCAGTGGGAGGCCAACTGTGGTGCCGCCTGAGGGGCTGCTCCTGGGCGAGCACCGCACCAAGGCTTTGGCGAAATGGCCAGCCAGGAGGCGGTGGCCCAAGGGGCGCAGAGCGGTTCCGCACGGGCTCTCTATGAGGACACCCCACACAGGCGCTGCCTTCACCAGCAGGCTCTGGGCAACATCTGCAAATGCAACTGCAACCTCTAACATTCTGGACAAAGAACTGACCCTGTGCCCCTCAGTACCAGGCTTGCTAGGCGTGTGCTGTCACCAATGCCACAGATCAAAGGCAAAAACCTGGCGAGGTGGGGTGCACAGAGGGGGCTCAGGCGGGGGCAGGGGGCGGCCGGCTGGGATCTGCCTCACCTGCGGAGAGCGAGGTTCTGCAGTGGCCCCAAGATGTGGGTCAGCCCGGCGGGGAACAAGGGGCATGGAAGGACGCCTGGGCAGAGGGGCGCAGACCCGCAGCCTGAGGCGTGGGTTGAGGGGCGGTGCCACCTCAGTGGAGGGATGCCACACTGCAGGGTACCCAACTGACTGGTGGGATCCAGAGAAGCTCCAGGCGCCGGGCCTCACCCGGGCAGCCTTTGCACTTCAGAGGCGATGACTCCTGCTCCTACCTTGGCCCAAAAGCAAGCCCACGCCTGCCCTGCCCCACTGCGGCGCCCCCCTGCGCGTGAGTTCGAAGCCTACCTCCTGCTCCAGACAAGGGGGGACAGTAAAGAATGGGGGTGGGGGCAGGGGAAAGGAAAGAATGTGGAGCTTCGTGATGAAGAGGTGCTTGAGAACGGGGCTTGGAAGCCTGATGGGGTTTGTTCTGTTTGTCCCCCCGCTGCCCCTTAGGAAGGGCAGAGAGCATGGCTGTGAGGGCTCACTGAGTTAAGTTCCGCAGCCAACTGGAATTGGCCTCAGTTTCCTGGTCTGTAAAATGGATTAAGCGTGTCCCAGTGCCTTTGCTGAGCTTTGAGGGCCAATTGAGATACTATATACAGAAAATGAGGGAAGTGAGAAAGAAAAGGAAGGGTGAGCAACACAAAAGGAAGACTGGAAGGAACCTGTAAACCTATTGTCACTTAAATAGGGAATATAGTCAACAGTGTTGTAATGACGGTATGATGCCAGGTGGTACTGGAAATATCAGGGAACACTTTGTAAAGTATATGATTGTCTAACCACTAGTCTGCAACTAATATAAAACCTGAAACTAATACAAAATAATACTGAATGTAAAGAAATGAAAATAGGAGTGAAATTTTTATAAATTTCACAGTTCAAATAAAGGCTGTAAAGGAAGGAAGGGGGAGAATAAAAATAGTGTTTTTCATTTTACCGCTTTATTGTCTTTTCAGTACATACAAAAGATAGTTGCCTGTATATGGTGCTTTTATATTTTTCTATGTCATTATCTCATTTGATGTTCAGGGCAACTTAAAGACAAGATAATTATTCCCTCCACTATTCAAAGAAAGGAAATCTTGGTGTCTGGCCCCAGTGATTCAATCATCCAACCCTTATTGTAAAGCAGGGTTAGTGAAATTTTCTCTGAAGGGTCATATCTATACTAATAAAAGCCTTGGGGGTGATCGGGCCAGCAGGGGAGGGCAGTTGGGGGCAATCAGACTGGCAGGGGAGCAGTTAGAGGGCAATCAGGCAGGCAGGCAGGCAGGCAAGCGTTTAGGAGCCAGTGGTCCTGGATTGTTAGAGGGATGTCCCCTAAACCAGCAGTCAGACATCCACCGAGGGCTCCCAGATTGAAGAGGGTGCAGACCAGGCTGAGGGACAACCCCCCCCACCCCCCGTGCACGAATTTCATGCACCGGCCACTAGTGTACTATAAAGATTTTAAAAATTAAACCTATGTTCCTAACCATTAAAATACATTACTTCCCAAAACCAGGGCTCCCTTTTTATTTAATACCACAGCACTTATTGATAGATATAATCTTCTAACTTCTACTGTTCTTTTCCAGTGCTATTTAATGCCTGAATTGAGGTATAAGATTTTATGTTGTATGTTCTGATTCTTCATTATATTAAAGTCCTTGCAGAAAGGGGCCTTATGTTGTGTTTTGTTCTTTGGCTTCCTCACAATGCCATGCTTGATTGTGAGGGTTCAGAAATATTTCTTGAATAAATGAATAATAGAATCATCTTACTTAATAGTGTATATGGACTAAATGTGTTACACTCATTAAGTACATTTCCAAGTTTAGGGAGACTTCCATTTTTAGTGAAGATGCCTATGGATAAATACCATGACTCCTATTTAAATGTGTGATATGACAATACAATGTTCCTCTGTATATAACACACTGTGTTTCCTTATCTAGAATAGCAAACCCTGACCACTCTATGCTAGATGTTAGTTTCTCAACAAATGCTAAGATGTTTATGCTAGTTTTAGATAAAATATGAAATAGTATCTTTTATCAGCTATGTAAAGTACATTAGGTACATCTTCATTTTGTATAAGGCTAGAGGCACAGTGTTCTAGTAATTCAAATGGCAGCCGAATATGAAATCTCCCTATGAATGATTTCAATGTGAAATCTAGTCCAAATATTTGAAAACTATTTTATTCCTGAGAGAGAAACCTGGAAGAAAAATCAAAATTCTCCCTGGCTTATGACCAACAATTTTGTAATTGTGTCAACCAAATAATTTCCAATTTAGTACCTCACTTCAGGAAATCATAAAGATAATTCTTTCCCACTTCCTATAATTGTGAGCTCCTGAGTTAAATCTGCATAGTTTAATTATATATATGGAAAACAATGCATCAAATATACATATTTTTTACTTAAACTTATTTTGCCAAAATTGTATTAACCTCTACCATCTCTGCAATAGAAAACATGGGTTGAAATGGTTAAGTGAAAAATATTGCTCTTACATTTACTGCTCCAAACTTCATGCATCTGCCTCTTTTAAGGGATCCACATTGCACTTCATCAAGTGCTTTGTTCCTGAACATTCATTGCAGAATCAAGAAAAGAAAATGAGTATATGCAGATGTATGGGGTTGTTCACTTAACAATTCATTCTAAATAATATGAATCTAAGTACATGACACATGATTAGTTGAAAGAGCTTTGGCCTAAGAATTATGATTCTTGGTTTATCTGGTGCTGTTTTTAAACTCTTCAAATTTTTATTTTCCCACTGGAAAAGTGGGGATCATTCCTGCCTCGCATCCTATGTAATAAAAGCATAATATGCTAAGTGTCTGACCACCAAGGGGTAGGTTAGCTTGCTGCTGGGGTCCGACCGATTGGGACTGGGCAAGAGGGCTGGACACACCCTGGAGCCCTCTCATGGTCCCTCCTGTGGTCCCTCCCCGGCAAACCAGCCCCCATCACCCCGATCAGGACTGGGTGAGACGGCCTCAATCGGCCCCGATGGCTAGCCAGGCTGAGGGAACCTACCCATGCATGAATTCATGCACTGGGCCTCTAGTTTATTTATAAAAAAATTTTTATAAACTTTTATTTTTATAAATAAATTTTATTTATTTTATAAATCAAAAATTTTAGAAGGATTCAGATGATACATTGGAAAGACTTTGAGAATCTCTAATGTTAGATATATCATAAGTCTTGGTATTTTAAAGTAGTTTTGGCTTTAGTTTACATACATATTACCAAAAAAGATAAGGGAGATAAATAGTTTCTTCTATTACAGGCCTTTTTCAGAATTTCTCAACATATATCTATAGCCAGAGCAAGATAACATGTTATCCTTAAGTACTTTAAAACACAAAATACAATAAAACAGAAAGCATGAAAGAAGACAGATAACTTTCCGTTCAGCCCAAAATTTATTTTAGAAATGTTAACTTCACCATGAACTATTCACCTTCAGCCTCGAGTGTGTTTCATATGGATGATTAAAAATTTTGATATTCTGGTTTCCACTGACAAATTCTGCATTTTGACAAGTTTTGATGAAGTCTATTCACTCTAGACAATTTATGCAAACCTAAGTTGAATAGTTAGTTGATTTTGACTTTATCCCCTTGAATTCCTAGAACTGCTCAGAATAAATTTTAAAACATAATTACAGGTAGCACATTGAGTCAGTTGGTTAGTCAGAGAAATCCAAGCTCTGAATGCCTACTTCCTGCAGCACACTGCATTAAGTGCTCTGGAGGAGGGTGGAGGTGGATGAGATCAGTCATCCATGAAATTATTTGAGGATTGTTATTAAAATAACATATCATCAAGTGCAAAGTACTCAAGTAAAAACTCTGTACATATAAGTTCAAGGAATAGAAAGTAAATGCCTGTTCTAGATATTTAGAAAATGTGTTTTTTGACAGTTAGTAGCTTAATTTCTTTTACCTAAAAATAATTCAAATAGTTTGTTAAGTGAGGATCAGAAAGAGATTTTTTAAAAGAAATTAAAAAAAAATTTTCTTCTGGAATAATTTTAGATTTATGGAAATGTTGCAGAAATAATACAGAGTGTTTCTATATAACCTCATTCAATTTCAGTTAATGTAAACATTTTACATCACCATAATACATTTTTCAAAACTAAGAACCAATATTGGTACATTACTATTAACTAAATTTTGGACACTGTCCAGATTTAATTTGTTTTCCACAAATGTCTGTTTTCTGTTCCAGGAGGCAGTCCATATACCATATTGCATTTAGCAGAAAGAGATTTTATTTATGTATTTATTTATTTTATTAGTTTTATTTTTCTAATCATACTCTTGGATTATCTAGATATGCAGTTATATTACCTGGAAATAATCATCATATTGTCTCCACTTTGCAATTCTTTTATTTTTTTAGCAGAAAGAGATTTTAGTGTCATAGTAATTATATCAAAAAATCCACCATTTCTGAGCAATAAAATGGATCACTGCCAAAAAGGGATGTGCACAGTAATAAAAACAGGTTGTGTCCGAAAGCCACCCGGCACACCAGAGTGTCAGATTCTTAACTAACTTTTAGCAAAAAGTAAACATGATCTTGTAGCCAGTTACTAATCTCTCTTTTCCCTTTTTTTTTAAATATAATTTTTTATTTTTTAATGACAATCTACATGCAATATTATATTAGTTGTGGGTATAAACATAGTGATTAGACATTTATACAACCTAGAAATTTATCACCCTGCTAAATCTCCCACCCATCTGACACTGTACATAGTTATTACAATATTATTATTTTTTTGTTAATCCTCACCCAAGGATATTTTCCATTGATTTTTTTGGGGAGAGTGGAAGAGAGAAGGAAAGACAAAGAGAAACACATCGACTGGCTGCCTCCAACCCCGACCAGGTCTCGGGCGGGAAGGAGCCCGCAACCAAGGTACCTGCCCTTGACCAGAATCAAACCCGGGACCCTTCAGTCCACAGGCCGACGCTCTATGGCTGGGGCCATAGTTATTACAATATTGTTGAGTATATTCCCTATGCGATACTTTACATGCCCATGACTATTTTGTAATTACCAATGTGTACTTCTTAATCCCTTCCCCTTTTCCCCCATCCTCCCAAACCTCCTCCCATCCAACAACTGCTTAACTCTGTATTTAGGAATTTGTTTCCATCTTATTTGCTTATTTTATTTATTTGTTTATTTATTATTTACTTATTTATTTATTCATTTTAATATATTTAAATATATTTTTATTGATTTCAGAGAGGAAGGGAGAGAAACATCAATGAGAAACATTGATCAGTTGCCTCCTATACACACCCCAATCAGGGATCAAACCTGCAATCTAGGTATGTGGCCTGACCAGGAATTGAACCTGCAATCTTTTGGTGTATGGGATAATGCTACAACCAACTGAGCCACCTGGCCAGCACTCTTCTTCTTTTGGCAGCCTTCCTGTGTTTGTTTTTCTATGTATTAGGTAGAGCTGCTACGTCTCCCAGGCTTGGTAGAGTGGCCTAATGTAGTAGGTGTTTTGTAGCGTCCAGTGGCACAGCCTCCTTGATCACCCAAGCTGAGCACTCAACATGTGCCCCCCTCCCCCAATGTGGGTTGTGCACACCCCCTATTGTTGCTGAGCCTTGATTGCTCTTGGCATCTCAAGGGGAGAGATTTACCCCTAGGCCAACTGGCTGAGAGGATTGGCTTCAACCACTGTAGAGGATCAATTGTGTAGGGACCCACCCTATGGAACAGGAGCAGGACTTACTTCAGAAGGTCTCTGGTGCCTGCTGAGTCCACCCCTTGAGTGTGTCTCTTGTGGGAGAGGTTGGCTGGTGCTTCAATGTGGTCTGAAGATGTCCACTAGGTACACTGCCTCCGGGGCCTCCTGGAAGAAAATGCAGGCCTAGGTCAGCTGATGCCTGTGCCCAAACCAGGGCCACCTGGTATGAGCTACAAAATGATATGCAGATGGTTGGTACTTGTAGTGGGCTTGGGGGTACCCAGAAGAGATCATGCTGTAAACTGAGGCAGGCTGCCAGGAGTTGGGACTGCTTAGCAAGAGGTATGAGGTATCCCAAAGCCAAATGCTTCTTGTTTGAAGTTTGTGAACCTTTGATAGATTTTAGGAAATTCCACAGCATGAGCCAAGGTAAGCCCTTTGTATGGAAAAGCCACCGGAAGCTGCTTGAGTGGGGCAGGGTCACGGGGATTAACCAGGGATGGACCAACAGTGTTAGCCAAGTTGATGGAGACTCAGATACAGTGCCTACCTGACCCTGCAGAGGTAGGGGTCAGCAAAGGCTGACCCCAATGGCTTCTGCCAGCACTTCTGTCTTGGAGAATTCTGCCCTTCCAGACAACTTTCAAGCCCACCCAAGGCTGTTTCTAGCGGTTTATCCATCTGAATGGCCTGACTTGACTCATGCTTCAGACTTTCCTAAAATATATCAAACAAGCTGCATCTGGTCTCAACATGCCCTGTACCTCTTGCTAAGTGACCCTAGACACAGCACTAGTAGCAGCCAGTCGTAGTTTGCAGCATGGCCTTGCCAGGGCACCTCCAAGCCCAGCACAATAAGCAGCCATGAGCAAATCACTTTATAGCTCATGCTAGTTGGGCCCAGGTAGAACACAGGTGGCAGCTGACCTTGGCCTGCACCTTCTGGGAAGCCCCAGAGCCAGTGCACCCAGGAGACAGCATCAGAACATGGCGAAGCATCACCACCCAACTGCCTCCACAAACAACACACTCAAGGGGCAGACTCAGCAGGCACCAGAGCCCTGCTTAAGCAAGTACTGCTCTGTGGGGTGGACTCCTGCAGAGCTGTTCCTCCATGATGGTCAGATATCAGTGGTCAATGGTTGCGGCCAGTCCTTGCAGCTGATTGGCCTGGAAGTAATTCCCTCCCATTGACATGTCAAAGCAGTCAAGGCTCAACTACAATAAGAAGGTACACACAGCCTATATGGGGAGCAGGGGGAGTTACACCTTGAGTGCCCAGCTTCAGTGATCAGGGAGGCTGTGCCATTAGACCCTACAGAACACCTACTACATAAGGCCACTCTACCAAGCCCAGGAAACAGCAGCTCTACTTAATTCATAGAAACAAACACAGGAAGGCTGCCAAAACGAGGAGACAAGGAAACATGTCCCAAATGAAAGAACAGAACAAAACTCCAGAAAAATAACTCAACAAAAGGAAGACAAGCAATCTACTAGATGTAGAGTTCAAAATACTGGTGATAAAAATATTCAGTGAACTTATTGAGAACCTCAACAGCATAAAACAGGACTAATCAGAAATGAAAGATACACTAACTAAAATGAAGAATAATTTACAGGGGATCAACAGTAGAGTAGATGAAGCTGAGAATCAAATCAGTGTTCTGGAATATAAAGAAGCCAGGCAATTCAGTTTCTCCCTGTGTGTCCTTGGTACCATTTTTTTTTTAAATCCTCACCCAAGGATATATTTTTCATTGATTTTTAGAGAGACTGGAAGGGAGAGTGGAGAGAGAGAGAAACATTGATGTGAGAGAGGCACATTGATTGGTTGCCTTCAGTATCAAGCCTGCAACTAAGGTACGTGCCCCTGACCAGGAATCAAAGCCACAACCCTTCAGTCCACAGGCTGACACTCTAACCATTGTGCAAATCCAGCAAGGGCCCTTGGCACCTTTTGTCCTGCTGCTCAACACAGTACTCAGCATAAGTGAGTCTGAGTAAGTCCATGCATAGGCCATTTAAGAGGAATGTCTGGAACTCCAGCAGCAATCCATCTCACTCAGCCACAATCCCTGCTTGTTTTTACAGCTAGAAGTTATGACAATCTCTCTTCCTGGCACTGGAACCTTGGGCTGGGAGCCTTGTATGGGACTGGGACTCCTTGCTCCACAGAGGGGAACCTCTGTAGCCAAAATATGCCTCTGTATTTTTAACCACCACATGTGGGTATGGGACCAGCCCATTCTACCTTCCACCCCTCTTATAAGTCTCAGCATGGCTTCTTCTGTATATCCTTAGTTTATTGGACTTCTGTTCAGCTATACTTGAGGAGGCTCTCAATGATGGTTGTTCTGTAGTTTAGTTGTAATTTTGAAGTGGTTCTGGGAGTAGGCAAATACAGCTTTTACCTACTTTTCAATCTAGATCAGAAGCTTCCATTAATATTTGCCTAAAGATAATGATTATATCACTACAAGCTCTACCATCATTGTTAGAGGTTTTTTAATATATATGAGAGCATCCTATATAATAAAACCCTAATATGCAAATCGACCAAATGGCAGAACATCCAGTCACTATGATGAGCACTGACCACTAAAGGCAGACGTTCAATGCAGGAGCTGCCCCTGGTGGTCAGTGGGCTCCCACAGGGTGAACACTGCTTAGCCAGAAGTTGGGCTCAGAGCTGGCAAGTGCAGCAGTGGTGGCAGGAACCGCTCCAGCCTCCACTGCAGGCGGGCGGTAAGAAGCAAGGGGTCCCAGACTGCAAGAGCCCCCAGCTGCGAGAGGGATGTCTGACTGCCAGCTTAGATCCGATCCCCGAGGGGTCCCAGACTGTGAGGGATCCCACCAGTGCACAAATCCATGCACCAGGCCTCTAGTAATAATAATAATAAAGAGAAAAGTAAGCCAATCTTCAGGGGTCCACAAATAAAAGGTAACAGGGAGATAGCTTAGCCTAAGAAATAGCACTGGGTTATGTACATCAATAAGAAGCCTTCATTACCCACAACTCCTCACTCTCTTAAACCTCTTCTGCATGGCGTTATGAGTACTACCATCAGTGACCTGGACTATCAAACAGTGTCAATAGTGAAACATATAATTTGAAATTAAGGCAATTTCTGGAAAATTAACTCCTAGTAGTCAATCAAAAGGAAGTCTTGTCTCTGTTTGAAGGACATTTTCATAAAACTGAAATGAGGAATAAAAAAAGTTAACCATTAGGGAAACACTTTACTTGGCTTCCATGGCTCTCTACTGTCTTTCTCTTTTATTGGATTCTCCTTTGCTTTCCAACTCTTCATGTGGGACTCCTCCAGGGTTTAGTCCTTCATCCTCTTCTCCTTTTCAGTTCTCTAGCTACACTCACTATCATGGTTTAAAACACTACCTGTATGCTGATGACTCCCAAATTTTGATCTCTAGTCCACACCTCTCTCTCTTGCTGCAGAATCATACATCCCAATTGAGTACTTGAGAACAATCATAACTAAGTGTCTCAACCTTAACATTTACAGAACTAAACCTTGATTTCACTCTTCAAATTTGCTCCACCAGTAGTCTCTCACATCTTAACTGATGTGACTCCGTCCTTCCAGTCGCTCAGTTCAAAAGTCTTGGAGTCATCCTGACTCTTCTCTTTCTCTCATGTCCTTCATTCAATCATCAGGAACTTTCAAATGAATCTGACCACTTCTCACTCCCTCCATTAGCACCACCCTGGCCCAAGACACTGTCATTTCTTCCCTCCTTTCACTTTCTCTCCCCTTAAGTCTATTCTCAAAAGGAGAGTCTGAATAATGCCTTTAAAATCTGAGTTAGGTCATGTTACCCTTTTTCTCAAATCCTCCAAGAGATCTGCATGTCACATAAAATAAAAACCAAAGTAAAAAAAATAAATAAATAAACCCCTACACAATCTCTCACTCTTAACCCCCTCCTCCCCTTCCTCTTCTTTCCCATTTGACTCCTGGCCTCCATGGTTCTTCCCAAACATGCCAGGCTTGCTACTGACTATGCGCCTTGCAACTGTGCTTCCTTTGCTTGGACAGCTTTTCTAAGGTTTGCAGCTCTTCCCCCAGATAACGCCACAGTTTACCCCACTATCTCCTTCAAATCTTTGCTCCTGACCGAGGATCAACCAAAACCTTCGCACATGGGAACCACGCTCCAAACTGAGCTACCTTCATAGCCAGGGACTATGATTTCCTGTTTAAAAGCTGCAACATGCCTTTCTACCCTTCATCTTCTTTATCCTGTTCTATTTTTTTTTCACACCGTGTATTATTTACTTTATAGCTCACCACATTATATACCTGTAAGCTCATTTTAGACTTCTCTAGTAAAATGTAAATTCTCTACTGAAAAGATTCTGTTTTAATGTTTTGAGGGCTTGAACATAGAAAACATTCAATAAAGAATTCCACGAATTCATCATTTCACTGTCCATACAGCTTGGCAACCCCATTAACTTCTTGAAACCTAAATTTCAACACCTTCTTAAAAGGGTAAATACTCCGCCCGGCACTCTACATTTTTAAAACCTTTCTGCCCCGGAAGTAAAAGCCTAAGAGGTCGGAGGAGGAAGCTATTTCCGTTTCCGTACGGACGTCAAGGAGCACACACCATGGAGAAGACCGGCGGCAGCCGAAAGAAAGGCCTGAAGCGCAAGAGCGCTGCCGAAGAACCTCAGGAGGCTGCAGTCGGTGAGGATGGGGCGACGGAAAGCGGGGGCCAAGCCCCGAAAGCGTCCGCCTTCCCTCCGGGCTTCAGCATTTCCGAGATTAAGAACAAACAGCGGCGACACTTAATGTTCACGCGGTGGAAGCAGCAGCAGCGGAAGGTAGCAGAGGGGCGGAGGCGGCAGGGCGCATGCGCAGTGTCCCTGGCGCGCGGGAGAGGGCGGCGCGGGTGGGCGTGTTGCACTTGCGTGGTCTCCCCTCCCAGGGATCCCAGCCGGAGGGTTGGGCGGGGCTCCCGATCGCCTTGTCCTGCTTTTTGCCGGAGCGGCCCGGTTTCCCTTTTTTACCAGCTCCTGGCTAGGGTTCGTGGCTGAGAATGAAAGCAAGAAACCCTGCTCGCCCACTAGTGAAAAGTACTCCCTCCTGTCCTGGGAGGCAAAGGCTCCCTCTCCGCGCGGTCCCGTCCACCTTCAGCTCCGGGTGGTTAATGCCTAAAACCTAATGCAGGCAATGCATAAACTCAGAGTGATGCTTCTCTGATTACTGCGGCGACTCGTACTGAAATTAGTACTGTAAAGTTTCTAGTAATCTTATTACTCCTTTTTATTTTGATATTTCCTTTTTTTTCTTAAATCTTTATTGTTGAAAGTATTACATATGTCCCCATCCCCTCCCACATTGACCTCTTCTAGCCGCCCTCCCCTGCCCCTTTCCCCCTCACCCCCCTCAGGCTTTCACCATCCTGTTGTCATACAAGTTCTTTGGTTGATCTTTTCCCACACACCCACCCTTCCCTGCCTTCCCTCTGAGATTCGACAGTCTGTTCCATGCTTCTGTGTCTCTGGATCTGTTTTGTTCATCAGTTTATTTTGTTCGTTAGATTTGATACTTGTCTTCCTCTGACTGGCTTATTTCCATTAGCATTATATTCTCCAGGTCCCTGCATACAGCTTTATCTTCATACTGTTCTGTGAGGTAAACAAGTATGGGGAGATAAGCAGATAAAGCCTAAGGTCACAGTGCTCATTTGTGGTTAAATTTCCGTTGAAAGCAAGAGTTTGCTTATTCTTGCACATCATAAAAGTTCACACACATAGTACTCTTTATATGTGCCTGCCTCCTCTTACTAGATTTTTTGAAACCCTGGACTGAGCCTTAAGTGCTAACGTGCTATTGGAGTACATGGAAGGGGCATCTAACCGGCCGTGGGTCGGCTGTTCTATCCCGAGCGGAGGGTTCTCTTGCTCTCCCCTCCGCTCCTTCACCAGCAGCAGTGTTAACATGGCAAGGTCGGGAAACACGGCCGCAGCTCCTTCTTCTGAGTCCAGTTTAAGAACCCATTGTGGCCCTGGAGTCAAAAAGTTTGCCCACCCCTGAACCATTGTGGTGCGGGGGAAGGGTATTCTGGAAGACTTTTGAGACCTGATACATTGAGGCTTAATGAATGCTGGGGGGAGAGGGGGAGTATTTTCTGTTGTCAGTTAAGCATTCTGTTCAGAAATCTCCAAAAGATACACATTCACAGTACAAACAATCTTAACTTGCAAGTACTTAATAAGTTTAAAAGCATTTTTTGATTATAAAATATATGGATAGCTATTTGTACTTTTATGGGAAGCAACCTGAAAACAAATCTCCCATTCCCATTTATTTTTAGTACTTTCCTAGAGAAACAGCCAGCATAGCCATGTTTTTCATTAAGATGCAACTTGTTAGAAATGCAGAAAAAAAAAATTGGTCAACTTAGATTTTGTTTTTTAAGAAGCAAAGTCATTGTTACAAAAATTGTATTGATTGTTCAGTTCACTTGTTTTACAGTAACTTAGGTATGAAAATCTATGTCAACATTTTAATTTTAATAAATTAGGAAGATTAAAGATTACTCCCTGTAAGTATTCTTAGCATTAGTAATTTGTAGTTTCAGTGTGTTTGTGATCTAACTAATGATCTCTCATTCTTTTTTCTTTTTTTAAACCTTTTAGGAAAAGTTGGCAGCTAAGAAAAAACTTAAAAAAGAGAGAGAGGCTCTTGGTGATAAGGTAAAGAAAATTTTTAGCCATCTATCTTAAGAAGGAATGCTCCCTGATATTTATGTTGAATGACTTTCTTTTAAAATTTATTTTGAAATATTTCAAGTGTATAAAAATAATATAGCAAACTCCTTTTTACCCTTTACTCCGCTTAAGAAATAATGCATTAGCAAATACTGTTCCAAGTCCCTTGTGTGTTTGTGATTGCTTTTTCGTCCTCAGATAACCACTCACGAAATTGCTGCTTATTGTTCCCATGCACTTTATTACTTTTACTATGTATGTTTGTGTTCCCAAACAAGCACAGTGGTGATGTTTTGAATGTTTTAAAATTTTAACATAAATGTTATGCATATTTTGACTTGCTTATTTTACTTTATGTGTTTGAGAAGTAGAGACATACACATCTCCTTGACTTTGGGAATGGGGGAAGCTCCCTAAATTAGAGCTGGAGCTCTTGAGATTTGAAGCAAAGGTTCTTTGTCAGACAAATACTCTTCTGTTAAAGGATTGGGTGAATAAGAATGAGAGCTGTCACATGACATGAATCTGTGAAGAGGGAGAAGGGCGGGATGGAAGGAAGATGATATGCCCGGATGGGTTATAGCAAAGGAGACAGCAGAGATAATGCATCAAGAAAGCATTTGGCTATTTTTGTGATAAGTGAAATCTTTCTATTGAAAATTTTAAAAAGAACTAAATACTTGCACATTATTACACAACTAAGTTATTTTCATTTGGTTTCATTTCACTTATAGTTTGTTCTAGGTTATGATTTATACTTGTAGATTTTTAAAGACGTACAACTCTTCCTCTTCCCCTTTCTTAAGATGAGGTACTAAGAAAGGATAAGTGTTTTTGAAGGAGGGAAAAATATAAAGACTGAAACATTTTGCTTTTTCATGCATTCTCTTAATAGTATTAGGTTAAATAACACGAAGTTGCCAATATTAGACTTTTCTGACCTGCAAAATTCTATCAAGCAATATTAGTCTCTTTTTAGCTCTCAATAATCAATTATAGCAAATTAATATGCTGATCACCATTTGAAAATATCACCATTCTGTTTTTTTGTACTGAAAGATGACTTCCTAGAACTGCCTCCTTCAAAAAATGATTTAAAACTTAATATTTGTTTCATAGAATAATAAAAATAAAATCCTAAATGGTTATCAACTCATGCTTCTTCTATCTCTGCTAGTGTACATATACTTTGAATTAATTTTAATTAGTGTATGTTACAGTTCTGTATTCCTGATCCATACCATTTTATTTACAGTTTTTGATCTAAGCTGAGTATGCATGATTGCTAATTCTAAAAGTATTCCATTATGTTGTTGGACCTTTGTCCTATCTATTCGCTGTTCATATCTATTAAAGGACTTGTATGCATGCATATAAACATAACCATTGGACATAGACACCAACGGGGTGAGGGCAAGAATGGGAGTGGGGGGATAAGGACACATATGTAATACCTTAATCATTAAAAAAAATATATGAAACTGAAAAAAAGAACAATAGTGATACTACATCTTTCTTTGTGTAAATTGCTCCCCCCTTTCATTCCTTACCATAAATCCCCCGTTCTAGAATTACTACTTCAGCAGATAGATTTGTAGCTTTTGTTATATATATTCTGAATAGCTTTTTGAAAGCTATTGGGACAAAGCTACATGTATATTTACTTTTGTAATTTTTTTCCATTTTGTTTGATAACTTTTATTTTTAGTGGATAGTTATTTTGACCAATATTTTTCTCTCTGCTACTTATGTCTGTTTTTAAGCCATTTCATCCTATGTTGGCAATTCTTTTAGTACGTGTGTGTTCCTGCTCAGAGAATTAAAAAACCTTTTACTCGGTATTGTCGTTAGGATTGATGTAGCAGTGGGTTGAAATGAGGAACAGGTTGTGTTTTGGATTGTTTATAAATTTCTGTTATTCCCAACTGTAATGAAAAATTATTTATGTAAAAATGCTTCTACAACTTAATCTTATTTCTTTTATTTAGGCTCCACCAAAGCCTTAATCTTTTTTCTTTTATTTAGGCTCCACCAAAGCCTATACCCAAGACCATTGACAACCAGCGAGTATATGATGAAACCACAGTAGACCCTAATGATGAAGAGGTAACATTAAAAGTCTTAAATAAATTTGGATGGCCACACTTGATAAATTATCTGTTCATATGTTGACAGCTAATTTAAATTACTGTCTGGTGAATTCGTATAATGGACTGATACAGCTATCATGTTGGCACATTATCTTATTTGCTATCAATTGTTTAATAATTAAATTTCCCAGTAATTGCATAGAAAGAGGCAGTGATTTATTTTCTAGAAATTTATTATGTTTTATACCTTTTGTCATTTAATCTGCGTATAATACTTCTTTTTTATATATCATTTGAAAAGTATTTCTCATACTGTAGAATTTTGTAACACCTGTTAAACATTTTGAAAATTAAGGATAATATTTGATGGTATTTTTTGTGTCCTTATAAAACCTTTTGGTTTTAAAATAATCTACTTTTCACATTTTTCCTTCAAAAAATTTGCAGTAGTATAGTCAGAATCAAGGTTTTTTAAATGTTGTATATATTTTTAAAATTTTGTATGTTTGCTTTTAAACAATGCTTTTTATCATAGTTCTTTTACGTATCTCCTAATATTCACTCAGTCAGTCTTCCACCAAATGTTTTATTAATTTCCTACTGTGTATTGAGATTTGTTTTAGAGACCTGGGATCAATCAATGCAAATACTCTCACATATACACACAAAACTTCTGCCCACCCAGAGCTTATATTCCAGGAGGAGAGACAAACAGTGAAACATCCTATATAATAAAGAGCTAATATGCAAATACTCGTTACACCCTCACGCCCTCGCACAGGAACTGCTCAGACACTCAACACTGGAGAGAGAGGAATGAGGACCAGCCAGACACAAATGAGCTTGCGAGAGAGGAATGGGGACCAGCCAGGCTGCAGCCTGGGAGAGGGACAAGCCACCCACCCCGCAGTCTCGGGCACCAGAGACTGCGCCTGAGGTCTGGGAGAGGGACAAGGCGCGTGCCCCGAGGTCCCAGGTGCCTGCAGTTGTGGCCTGGGCAAAGCTGCCCGCCCATGGTCCCCTGCGGCTGCGACTGACCTGGGTGCCTGCAACTGGCTGGAGGAGGAATCCTGGGTCCCGGGTGTGGGGCGAGGCAGAGGCGGTTAGGGGTGATCGGGCCAGCAGGGGAGCAGTTAGGGGCAATCAGGCCATTAGGGGAGCAGTTAGGGATGATCAGGTAGGCAGGCAGAGGTGGTTAGGGCGATTAGGCAGGCAGGCAGAGGGGTTAGGGGTGATCAGGCAGACAGGCAGGCGAGTGTTTAGGAGCCAGCGGTCCTGGATTGCAAGAGTCAGTTGGACATCCCCCGAGGGTCCCATGTTGGAGAGGGTGCAGGCCAGGCTGAGGGGACACCCCCCACACGCCCATGCACAAATTTTGTGTACCGGGCTTCTAGTAATAAAATAAGTAAGTTGTGATATGTTAGCAGATGATAGGTTACTAGAGTTAACAAATAGGGTAAAGAGGATTTAGGACTAACTGGAGTAGAGTTTGCAATTTTATATATATATACACAAGTTTGTATGTGTATTCATTTATTTATTTTTTACATAATTTCAGACTTAATAAGAAAAATAGGAGTTTGTATATTTTCTTCATCCAGATTTCCTAAATGTTAAATTGTACCATACTTACCTTTCATTTATATTCTTTCTGAAATGCTTGAGAGAAAGAGGCAGACAAGAAGCCTCTTTGCTCCTATATACTTTTAGAATGTTTTACCTAATAAGTGTATTTTTTAAATAAACATAGCATAGAGTTATCAAAATCAAACAATTAATATTGATATATAATATTACCTAATTTGTACAGCTTATCCAGATGTTACCAGTTGTCCCAATGATGTCATTTTTAGCAAAAGAAAAATCCAAACTCATGCATTTTATTTTATAATAATGACTCTTTAACCTCCATTAAATTGAAACAGTTCCTCAGACATTCTTTGCTTTTAATGACATTGACATTTTTGAAGAGTACAGATCAGGTAGTCTTGTAGAATGTCGCTAAAAATGATTTGGAGGTTTGCTCATGATTATATTCAGTTATGTACTTATGACAGGAATACTACAGATGTGATGTTATGTTCATTTCAGTGCCTCTTATCAGGACTCATATATTAGTGATTTTCCCATTACTGGTTATGTTAACTTTCATCACTTTTTATTAAACTGCCTGCCAGGTTTCTCCCATTATAACTACAGTTTTTCCCTTTGTAATTAATAAGTATTTGGGGGATAGATACTTTGAGATTATATAAATAAATGTTACTCTTCAAACTTTTAATCAAGATTTTGCAATTACAAATAATTTTTTCCAGTCTGATAGGTGAGAAATTATATCTCAGTGTAGTTTTAACTTGCTGTTCTCTTGTTAAAAATGAAATTGAACATGTTCTTTTTTAAAAATAGGTTTTTATTGATTTCAGAGAGAAGAAGAGGGAGAGATAGAAACATTAATGAGAGAGAATCATTGATCGGTTGCCTCCTTCATGGCCCCTATTGGGTATGGAGCTTGCAACCTGGGCATGAGCCCTGACTGGGAATAATGGAACTGTGACCTCCTGGTTCATGGGTCGACACTCAACCACTGTGCTACACTGGCCGGGCTGAACATACTTTTTTTTCCTGTCTTTTTAATCAATTATTTGTTCATGTCTCGTGCCCATTTTTCTGTTGGTTTGAGTTGCAGTTTCATATACAGTGGTCAGGGTAGGTTTCATTGAGATGACTTTTAGCAAAGACTTGAAGGATATAAAGAAATTAGCCATCTTTGGGTGAAAAGTACTTCAGGATGGGGAAACAGCCTATGCAAAAGCTGTAAAGCAGGAGCGTGCCTGGCATATTTTTTGAAGAAAAGCAAAGAAGCTAGCATGCTGAAATTAAGTGAACAATGGGGGAGAGTTGTAGGAGAGGTCATAAGAAAGTATGGGGAAAGGGAAAGCCAGATCAGTGACTTGGTTAACTTGTTTTTCTGTTCTTAGGTTGCTTATGATGAAGCTACAGATGAATTTGCTTCTTATTTCAACAGACAAACTTCTCCCAAGATTCTCATTACAACATCAGATAGACCTCATGGGGTAATAAATACATTAATTAGTATAGTTCTTAAATTCCTAATTTTCTTTTATTACTTTGACTATTTAAAGGAACTCTGTTTAGAAGAGTTAGAGATTGCCTTAGATGATGCCTGTGAATAAGCTAAATAAAATTTAATATTGGTAATACAGTGTAAGAAATGACTTGATAATTTGCAAGAAATGACTTGTTTTCTAAGCCTGATTCTTCAGGATAGGGTTTTTCAACCTCAACATTGTTAACATTTGGGGATGTATAATTTTTTGTTATGGGGGTTGTCCTGCTCATTATAGATACTTAGTTGCGTCCTTAGCCTCTATCCACTAGATACCACCAGTACCAGCCATCCCCCACCCCCAGTCATAATCAACAAAAATGTTTCCAGACATTGCCAAAGGTTCCCTGGTGGAACAGAATCACCCCCAATTGAGAACCACTGCTTTAGGATGATCAGCCTTTGGTAAAGGATGGAACTGTTCAGATTTCACTCTTGTCCTAGCATTGGTCTCTATTATAACATTGTCTTATAATAATCATTATGCCTTTCCTGATAAGTATATATCACATAAGATTTTTATTCTTTTCATTTTTGAGGATTTTTTTTATTTTGTTTTACAGAGAACAGTACGACTCTGTGAACAGCTTTCCACAGTTATACCAAACTCACATGTTTATTACAGAAGAGGACTGGCTCTGAAAAGAATTATTCCACAGTGCATCTCAAGAGATTTCACAGATCTGATCGTTATTAATGAAGATCGTAAAACACCAAGTATCCTTTGTTTTTTAAGGCAGGGCTTCTATTTTGCATGGTTGATGTTAGAGATAAGCAGTAACATAAATTTTTGCACAGCAGTTAATAAGTTTGAATTTTGTAGTTTGCTTCTGACACAAACAACATTTAGTAGGAATGTTCTAGAACGGATTCAAGCCCTGATTTATTTTGCAAGAAATGACTTGTTACCTCTCTTAACCCCCTTATAAGATTTGATTAATTTTTTCAATGTGCAAATGATACAGAAATACTTTTGACTGTGCCTCATGAAGTTGAACCTGTGGTGTATCTTTGAAAAGAAGAATTCAAACATTTACTGATAATCTGCTATGTGATAGGCACTAGTATCTGTCAGAAACAGATCTTTCAAGAGCTGATGGATTAGATGGGAAGAAAGGCATTTACGTGACTATAACTCAATTTCAAGTGACAAGTGCTATAGTAAGTAACAGTGAGAACTGAGATATAGATCTTAATTTTGACTACATAAAATGAGGTGGCATTTGAATTGGGCATTATTGGATGAGTAAACTATTGAAGCTATTTGAAATAGCATGAGTAAAAGAAAAAAATGGTTAATATGTATGGTGTGTAAGAAATTGTATCACTGCCTACCAGTTAGGAAACACCATGAGGAGACAGGTTAGAAAGATAGCTTGGAACCACATTGAGTGTCAGACCAATGTTTTATTCTGTAGATGAGGCTGATAAGAGTGGCTTGAAATTAGCTGTAGCTGCCAAGAATCAAGGTACCTAGTTTGTTTTTTTCACTTAGCATCTGAGGAACTGGTGCAGATGGTGACACAGCTAAGCCCCATAGCTTGTTACTTGGTTTTATAACCAAGGCCTAAGTCCAGACTTGATTTACAGTCTGTATTAGAAGATGTACTTAAAACTGTTGGAGCGGTCATACCAACCAGGCTACTGTTTTAATAATCTAGGTGGGAAATCTCAAAGACATCAACTAAGACAGTAATAGTAAGGGAGAGATGTAGAAGTGAGGAACTTATGTAAACAGTAGGATTTAGTGGGAGAGGAGGAAATTCAAGATAACCATAGCTTCTACTCTGGATGAATAGGAGTGTTGATCCCATTATAAAGCAGACAGTAGGTTTTGTAAAACTAATATTATGTACAAATATTTGAAAAACAATCAGATTCTCATCTTTTAAGGTTCGGCATTTCAAAGAATCAGGTTGTGCTATAACCACTTGAGGAATATTGTATAGATCAGTGACGGTGAACCTATGACACATGTGTCAGAGGTGACACGCGAACTCATTTTTTGGGTTGATTTTTCTTTGTTAAATGGCATTTAAATATGTAAAATAAATATCAAAAATGTAAGTCTTTGTTTTACTATGGTTGCAAATATCAAAAAATTTCTATATGTGACACGGCAGCAGAGTTAAGGTAGGCTTTTTCAAAATGCTGACACGCCGAGCTCAAAAGGTTCACCATCACTGGTATAGGTAGTAATCTTAATTTGCTGCATCAAGGACTTTTAAAGCCTTGGGCTGCCAACCCTGCTAGGTAGGTAGGTGTCTTATATTTCATTCATGGCAGACAATTAGTAAATGGCTATTACTAAGTTTAATTTGTGGTACAGTAATCACAAGAATAAGAGCTTATTTCTATCAAGAAGAGAATTTAGGAGTCTCTGGTTTTGTGGGATGATCAATTCAAAGCTGGCAGCATATCCTAACCTTACAAACATAAAATGTATATACAAATATATAAAAGTGCATTTTTACGGTTATAAGGCTTCTAACATGGAGGTAAACTTATATTCTATTTACAGTGCTATAGTTACTCTTGAATCCATTCCTGTCTTATCATTCCTGCTAGAGTAGTGGACATTAGTTGCTTCACATACTTTAGTTGAATGCTCAAAACACCCTGTAGAAGGGGTTGATGAGCTATTTATCCTATTGTGAAAAGAGAAAAGGTAGGACAATAGGCTAATCCATTTTTCTGAAAGATTTATGTTGATTTATATGTCTAGAGTTTGAGGCTTGGTAAGAAAATCTCCGTTAACCCAGAGGAATGCATGCACCCCACCTATTCACCTCGCTACAGATTTTAGGAGCCTTTGAGGATCAATTATTTAAACAATTCAAAATTTAGATCCGAGTTCAATATGTTCTTAGCTTTATGAACAGATGGATTAATTCTGAGTCACTTGCCAAATGGACCAACTGCTCATTTTAAAATGAGCAGTGTTCGTCTGCGTAAAGAAATTAAGGTAAGTTTTAGGCATTCCTTGATTGGCATTGGTCCCCTCATAGTTTTTGCTTTTAAGTAGACTGACTTATCAGCTGCTTGATTTTACTAATGGCATTTGCTCTCCTAATTAAAGCAATAGTTTTATCTACTGGCAGGTTTCTTGTGAGACTGTCATAATTGAGTTATGGCAGACAGGCAATAACTTTCATTACTGTGAAATGTTACTTTCCTAGAACTTCCTTTTTGGTGCATTCACAGCATACAAAATACTTTTAGATAATCTTACTTCATGGGTGTAGTAAGCCATTTGTGGTTGTCATTGAGATAAATTTCTCATTTGTCATGGGAATTATAAAACTTAAAATTGCAATGATACAGTTTTGCTAATAAACTTGTGATTTTTCTAGAGAAGAGGCAAGGACCCCACAGAACACGTACCTGAAATAATTCTGAATAATTTTACAACAAGGCTGGGTCATTCTGTTGGACGAATGTTTGCATCTCTCTTTCCCCATAATCCTCAGTTTATTGGAAGGCAGGTTGCCACATTCCACAATCAACGGGATTATATCTTCTTCAGATTTCACAGGTGAGGAAGGTACCTTTACTCCTTGGACTTTTAATCATGAAATACCTGTTCAAGATAAACCTGTTCCTAATGTATTTTGACAGGTATTACAGATGAGAAATACGTTCTTTTCGACCATCATAAATGTTAAAGAAGTAATAGGTGGGTTAATGCGGACTAATTTCCTCAACTTTTTTCTTTACCTTTAAAGATACATATTCAAGAGTGAAAAGAAAGTGGGAATTCAGGAACTTGGACCACGTTTTACCTTGAAATTAAGATCTCTTCAGAAAGGAACCTTTGATTCTAAATATGGTGAATATGAATGGGTCCATAAGGTATGTACTTACTCTAGAAAAGCCATTTAGATGATTTTAAGTATGGGATGAGAAGGAAATCGTGTACTTTTTAAGCTTTGAGTTCTACCTCAAGTTATGCTTCTGAATATCTTCCATCATGAGCTAAAAACCATTTTCTGATGTGGTAATTGGATCTGGTGATTAATCCTGGTTCATTTGAAGTATCCTAAATATTTATGGTTCTCAAAGTAGGACCAGAAGCATCACCCAGAAACTTTTAAGATGAAAAATTGTTGGGCCATAGATTTACTGAATTCGACCCAGCAACCTATTCATAAGCTTGTGCTACCCTAATTCTGGTGCATGCTTGAGAATTATTTTCTATCTAGTAAGTAGTATTTCACTTAAGTGTGATTTTTACTTTAAAATTGTGTATGTTTAACACACATCTGTTGGAACTGTAATTTCCAACACCTTTTATATTAAACCTGAACACTGATACTTCAGTGACAATTTTTAGCATTGTTACCCATTGATTGTGTGCTAACTTTGTTTACTCCCTAATTTTCAGCCCCGGGAAATGGATACAAGTAGAAGAAAATTCCACTTATAAAATACTGAAGGAATAGTACTGGATTTTGCGGAACGGGCCTATCTTGAATTTGTAACAGAAGACTCTTCAAAATGGCATTTACTGATTTCATATACCTTATTTCGTGTCTGGACAAATTACCAAGTGCCATGAATTACCACTCACTGTTTCTGTAGGAAATACAAATAAAAGTATTTTGGTGAGAGTGTAGGTTGCAATTTAGATTTCCTAAAATTTTTTATTTTTAGTAACTGAATAATTTAAGTTGGAATCAAGACTCAATCTGACTTTCCCATATGCACTCTTTTAATCTTTATTGTTGAAAGTATTACTTGTCCTCTTTTTTCCCTATTGATCCCTTCTAGGCCTCCCCCACCCCTCTACCATCTACACTTTCATGGTACATGTGGGCGAGAGGAAAATACAGTGCTCGGTAGATACAATGTAACCAACCCACTGGTTTTCTACCAGACTCTTGGATCTGGCACAGAGTTTTTAACTGTTTTCTGAATGATTGGAGACCACACGTCTGGGATGTTTTAACATTTCCTTAAGCCTTTCCGAAGGATAAAAATTTTTAAGCAAAATGGTTTACCAAGGACTTAAAGCAAAGTTGCAAATTATTGAAGCCAATCTTTGGTTCCTTTTTTCTTACTACATTATACATCATTACTCTGTACTGTAATACTCCATTCAGGAATTGTCTCAAGCTCTGAAGTTTTTCTTCTATCTTCTAATGGAATTCTTACATCCAGTCTTTACTGTCCTTATTAGGAGATAGGAGATAAAGTAAATAACTTAGGTGTAGTGGTAATAAACCCACAAAGGAGTTTATTAGAAATATTTATTATTAAAACAAAGTTAGCCCTGTAAATAACTCATATGAGTAGAAACTAGTATGAGCAACTTTCTCCTGACTCTTACAAGAAGTGTGCAACTTACCTTTGCTTTTCTAGCAGTTTTGCAAATGTATGGCATAAAGTTATATGAGAAGAGTTGGTGGAACAAACGCTAAAAGCAGCCCATAATGACTGGGAAAATTGCCATTTAATTTAGGTGTTCAAAACAAACTAATACATAGTGTATTACCAATAATTAGGCAAAAATACTTTTTATACTAAGTATTTTATTTGTATGCTGCTGCCAGTGTATATAAAATAATCATTCTTGTGAAATAGAAATTCATGAAAATTCAGAGAGGTAGATGTTAAGGACTGACAAAAGCAGAAGTTTGTAGAGTATGGCACATGTTATAGGGTAAGCCTTTTTGTACAAGCTTCAGATTTAGCTCTCTTTGAATATTTGCCGGTTCAAGAAAAGTGGTTTAGAACACCTGAAATGAGAAGAAAAAAAGGGAGTTAGAGTAAAATATCAAATAATCAATGGATTAACAATAGCACTGCATTTTGTATTTTTACAGCATTCATATGAATGTTAGTTTATAAAGTACTTTCAATTAAACTAAATCTAGTTTTAAAAACAAAACCAGACACATCACAGGGTTTCTGGAGAAAAACGGTAGGAAATGACTATGGTGTAAAATGTAACCACCTCTTAATTTTCAAAACCACTCTGAAGTATATATCATTTACAGTTTATAATAAGACTTAAAAATTAACTTGCTAAGATCATTGCTAAAATATACTCTGTCTTAATTTACAATGAACAATAGTATTGGGGAGAGCAGTTTGGTAATATCTACTAAGGTAGAAAGTGCAACCACACTTCACTCTTTACCCAACTAAACCTATATTCAAAGAGAAACGTACATGGATACTGTTTATAGTGATATTTTAACAGCAAAGAACCGGAAATAGCTTAAACAACTCAACAGGACTAGATAAACTAAGGTTCATACACAATGAATACTAGACAGCCAATTAAATGACTAAACAATTTATATGGAGATAAACCAACAAATATATGTAGTAAAAATAAAAACATGGGCATACCACATGTTATCTATGTGGAAAGGTAGGAAAAGTATATCATTTTAAAACTAACAAGCTAAACTAATTCAGGATAGATACAAGTTCATCTTTATACTTGAAAATTTGATATATTCCATAGCGAAAATGTTCAAGAGGCATAAACAATCAATGGTGGAAAAATAAGTGTTTAACTAAACATTTGATTCAGTGCAAATTATAAAAACAAGATAGGCAGAAAATAGCAAATAGGCTGGCGAGGGCTCAGCATCAAGTTCCAGGTGAAATAACGAAGTTTAATAAAAAGACTAGTGTTAATAAAATTTAAATGTCATTCCTTATTGAATAATTTTACTTCTAGAAATGTACCTTAAATAGGTAAAGTATATATAAATATATAGATACCAACATATTTCCTTCAGTGTAACTTCAAATTTGGAAACTTCAATATTCAATGAAGTATAATTCAGTTACAATACAACCATTGAACATCTCACAAATATTTAATGAAATAAAATTCATAAATGTTTTTAAACAAACTACATACCATAATCCTCATTTTATTTATTTTTTATTGATTGATTTGGGAGAGGAAGGGGGACGAGAAACACTAATTTGTCCCATTTATTTATACATTCATTTTTGATTCTTGTATATGCTCTGGCTAAGGATTGAACCCACAACCTTTGGTGTATTGGGACGATGCTCTAACCCAGCGTTCGCCCATCAGTGGTCAGTGGACCACTGGTGGTCTGTGAGGTCCAAAAGGTTAGCGACCACTGCTCTAACCAACTGAACTACCTCTGTGCGGGGCTGATCCTCATCTTTAAGAATTTTTTTTTCTCTTAAAAGGAAATATCTAACAATGGTTATTTCTAGGTATACTGACCATGGTACTTTGTATTTTCCTTAGACCAGCTATTGATAAGTTAGCTATGCTGCTGTTGATAAAAACCATATATTTTTAAATGCTATGAGTATAACGTTTCAACTGTAAATTCTCTGCACTCATGTCACTCACTGTGGGCCTAAAACCACTGGCAGTAGTATAACCCAGAAACTTGTAAGAAACATAGGTTGTAGGACCTCACTTCAGACCCACTAAAATAGAATTTGCATTTTAACAAAGTGATTTATAGGTATAGTAAATCTAAAATTTTTTTACATCATATTTTTTCCTAGCCAAAAATGTTTCAATCATCATATCCACAAAGCTGTTTCATTAGACTGCCAGGATTAATAACCATTATTTTACTTTGAAACCTGGATTATTATCCCAGCCATATTTAAACACTATCTGTAGACTCCTGTGAAATGTAGATTATTAACTGCCAGTTAAGAGTCAGGCTACTTAACAGTACTTTATATCAAATGAAAATAAACCATTTTTTAAGTGAATAGGAACATAAGTTTAAAAAGGATGTTTAACAAACCATAAAAATATGCAATTGCAAAAACTGCCATGAAGAATTAATATTGCCATAAGCAAGGAACTACAGCTTAATAGGAGTTAGACTGTTGAAAAGACTTACTTCCGTATGGAAAACCTATCACTCAAAGGTGCTTCCACCCCCCCTCCCCCCCCATGTTTCCAAAAATCTTAACCAATCACTGTATTTACTGGAAACATACTGTACTTATACAGACTTCCTGGGTACTCCCAAATCTACAAAGCGTAATTAGGGAGGGCACAACTATGTAACATGGTATTTTGGGAAGCAGCTTCCTGGACTTTGAGGAGTTAGACTGTTTATAAAGGGTGTGTGCCATACAGAGTATTTTGGGTTTTTTTAAAGCACTATTAGTTTAAGGTTGCACCTCATAGGTCAATACTAGTGAGTATACACCCTGACTAAAGCACTATGGCTTTATAAAAGGTAGCACCCTTGGGTTACACTTAAAATGTAACCACAGCATATTCTGGTCACATCTCTTTTGGACTAATATGGTTTTGCACACATTGACATTTGATCTGGAAGACACAGATTAAAATTTAGAAGTTAGCTTATTCAACTGTCTCATTTTCTCTTGCATTCACAACTCCCAATTCTTTTCTATATTGCCCTATAACTGAATTCTGTTAGAGTAAAAACATCAGAATCAGTCCAAATCAATTGGTAGTACTTTAAAAGTCATCCCCATAAACATTCTATAAAGTTTAAAAACTATTTGCTACGTACACAAAAATTAGACTAGTGTTTAGGGCCCTCAAAATACACCATTAGGGCCAATGCTATAAAAAGTAACACAGCTTGTCACTGTGATTCTCTAGTAACTCTCCTATATCCTCTTGTATGGTTATTAAATCATCTATTTAACCCTCTTTATGGTAAGATAGAAACAATTAGTCTTCCTGACTACTAAATCAGTAAATTCCATCAACCTTCACTTTCCTCACAAAACAAGACTGGAAACTTGCAGTGCCAAACAAAAGTGCACAGAAGCAAATAAAAAGACAACTGGTTATTCCAGCTTCATGCAGTTTTAACTGTTTTACTGTAAGGAAACTTACCTTCAAAATTCACTTTACTACAAAAAGGAACAAACTTTCTGGGGTCTGAAGGGATTGGTACTTGAAGATACTCCAGTCAACAGAGGGTCATGTTGAGCATTCTGCAGACAGAACTGTTTCAAATCTGCCGCTGCCTGGGAAACCTACACAAAACAAAGTGGGAGGGGATGGGAGGTGATTAAGAATGTTTTCAGAAAAAGTTTTCTCACATCTTTCAAAATACCTGCAATAAATATTTCTCTTAACTCAAAAGATACATACTAATTGGAGATTATCAGTCACATACTGAGCTCTTAAAGCAGGGCATGTAATTAAGGTTAGTTTGTTTCATTTTGCTTATTAGAAGCATTATCAAATGATTTAGTACAAAGGGTACAATTCCACTTATCTGTAAAGTACAGCACATCTTGCTAGTTTATTCATAAGCAGGTTGCTCAAGTGCAACCTTGAAGGGAAGCAGCACCTTGCTTTTTATTAAAAAGCAGTACCCAAAGCAGTACACGTGATAAGAGTTTAAGCAAAAAGCATTAAAATTCTAGCAAACTATTACTTCACCTTGAAAGCAATATTACCGGAAAAATGCTACCACTGTGAATGAACATGAAGTTCTAAATCTAAACCATTCAATTCACTGTTTTGGTATCATGCATCATCAGCTGTTTAATGTTACAAAACTGGGCAGTGACAGCTTTCTGCTCAGTATCAGGGAACTAAAAGCTGATAGCAAACTTCAGTTAATTTTAACAACTTCACTGAGCAGCCTGCCTGTA